TTTATTCTGAATATTTTACTCAATTATACTTTGAATCATAGTAAACTTTAATCTGATTAGTAAAATTTTTGTGTGAAATTCTTATTAGCGAGATTCATATCAGAGAGAGAGAAAGAGAGATAAATTGAATAGATCATCCATTTTAATAGATCGATCATCCATTGAACAAGATGAGTACGAACAGATCAATTCAAAAACTAGTAAAAACTCAAATCTATATTACAAGGATATATAACCACAAAACACACAGATCAAAAACTAAACAAAAACATCCAAATATCAACATAATCATAATCTGATTGAGGTGGCCATTTCAGAGAACACATCCAAATATCTCTCTATCTTTTGATTTCAAAGAATACATGTGTTCAACAACACTCATACACACAAATGTGTATATATATATATATATGTGTGTGTGTGTGTGTGTGTGTGTGTGTGATACGCATTATTTGAAATTATTTGATAATATTGTCGTTCATCCTTGTCTAATTTTAATTGATTCGATTTTGATTATAAATTTATAATTTTCTATCAATTTAGTTTAAATAATTTCTCTCGCTAGTGGTTTTTATGAAAAATATGTACGTAAACAATCGTGTGTCATATTTTTAGAAGTAAAATTATATATTTTTTTAAATTAGTGATTCAGCCTTAGCTAACTTAATAACCATTTTCCGTCAAAACCTTAAGCAGCAATATTAATTTGACTAAATTGACACAATGTTTAAAATTAAACATTAAAATTGAGCTAGTTCAAAGTGTAGGAATTAAAATGAAATTAGTGACAAAATGTAGGAATTATTAATATAATTAGCTAAAAAAGAAAAAAGAAAAAATATACAATGACAAAATACATGAACACTTACACATAACATAATATATATATACATATATTTGGAGAAATACATAACAATGTACACATATTTTGGAGGACAAATCCATAGAGCTATAAACACAGCACACTTGGCAAAGCCTACACTCTTACAAAGCAGCCAACACATGACCATCCTCACCACCACCTATGGTAAGGCAGTCCGCAAACTATTTATTACAACGATCTATCTATATACATATATATATCAAGTCCCTTCATACATAATCTCATTCTCATGTAATGAATGAGAGAGAGATAGATAGATACCACATGACATAACATCGGTAAGGTTGATTCAAGCAGCTGTACCTTGGCGACGGAGGTCGGCGAGATCTTCACTAATTATATATATAAAATTATTGAGGTCGGCGACGGAGGGAGCGGCGGAAGAGGATCGGACGTCGGCGGCGTAGGCGAGGTCGACGCAGGAGTTCCAGAGGCGGTGTGAGCTTTCAGATCTGAAGCTTGAAGGAGTTAGAGAAGGGAGAGAGGGAGGAGAGAGACAGAAAAGGTGGGGAGAGAGTGGGTAGAGAAGGTGGGAAAATTTAATTGAGGGTATAATAGTCTAATGAAATATTTAAATAATAAATTTTGTCCTTTATGTAAGATTTTATAATTATGAAGGGGTTTACAAAGTATAATTTTTTTCTTAGTCCTTTTAACAATGAAAGGAAGGTAAAGGGGGTTTATAACCAAATTTCCCTTCAAATTAAACCGAACAATATTTAAATAATTTGGTTTAGATCAATTTCATAATTTTAATGAGTTAATTTTATTTTAATTTTTTTAGAATTGTAGCCAATAAATTAATCTTGATTTCATTCTAAATCAATCCCAACCAGACCATATTAACCCCTCGTTGTGAGTTTCGTCAGCCTTCCTCCATCAGCAAAGACAAATTATTCAAAAGTCATGATGAGCAATCAACCAGTTAAAAATAAATAAAGGGTGAATTACACTAACAGCCCTTATAGTTTGATGCTCGTGTCACTTTGGTCTCTGACTTTTCAATTGTGACACATTTGACCATAAATTTTGCATTTTATTCCAAATGAGGACAACTGAAGATACCATTGCTCAATTTCAAGGGCAAAGTCGTCAATTTGATAAAAATAAATGTCAAAAAAATATTTCTAAATTTTTAAAAAATATTTCTATCCACCAAAGATAAAATTATGTAAAATTGATCAATTTGTTAGACATTTATTTATGTATTTTTTTACCAAATTAATTTTTATTACGTGTTTGGATGATGATCATATAATGAGTGGTTGTTTTTATTATCATTAAATTAGTTTTTATTTTTCAAAAAGTCAAATATAACGACAACTTTGATATCATTATTAAACCAATTCATTAAATTAAAAAATTCAAAACTAAAAATATTTCATATATTAAATATATCGATTACACATTAAAAACTATAGAAACCGTTAGTGTGATTTATCCATAAATAAATAATAAATAACGAGCAACCAACAAAATGGAGTGTAGAGTAATAAACCACAAAATGGAGAGCAATTGTGCTTTAGACACGTTTGGCATTTTGCGTTAGATTCAACCGGTTTCTTTCTTTTTATATATGTTATAGATATATTCTTTGTTTTCAGATGGCTAGAGAATCTAGGCCCTGTTTGTTTCATTGGATATAAAATGGATGATATAATATAATACGAGATTTAGTCAGGATATATAATGAATAAAATATATGCATTGGATAATATATCCCCCAATTCATGTTTGTTGACTTGATTTATAAGACTGGATATATATTATCCATGTTTATTTTACAAAATATATTGTGGGATATAAATAAGTAATTTTCAAGATTGTGCTTATAATATATTTTAAATACCCATATTGCCCTTATGTCCATCAAAACCAGGTTGTTCAGTTTAGGAAAAAATAACACCACCTGCAAAACTAATGCAAATAAACAAATTAAAAATTCATATTATTTTTTATTTGAACAAATTAAAGATTCATATTAAATTCAATAATTTTCCCAAACAAAATAAATATACATATATATATATATATTATATTAATGTCAACCTGATAATGATAAAAAAAAATTATATTATATTAAATTCAATAATTTTACCAAAAAAAAAAAAAAAAAACTAATATTCATTCTAAAAAATTCTATCTTACAAAAATAATCATCATTGAATGAAAAAAAAATAAAAAAATCTTCATTCATTTATTCATCGTGCATCATCATTCTTATAAAATAATCCAAACCATTATAATTAAAAATAACCACCATTCATTCTAAGCAAGTGATAACATTTTTTTACAATAGACAACTTAATATATTAAGCATCATGATTGTCACCATACATCATATTTTATATATGCATGTCCACAAGCTTACTTACAACCCCAACAATTACAACAAAATTAGGCACAAAAGCCATTTGTGGGGGATGTACACTAGTTAGTTTGTCAAGATATGTCTAAACCTCCTAATTACTATGCAAAACAGGCACTACACATGTGTCTCAAGAGAAATAGCTAAACCAAATATTATAATATATAGATAGATATCTTTCACTAGCCTACAACAAACACACCCTCCTAAACATACCCATCAAACATACCCATTCCATTTTGTCTTCTTTAGGCAAGCTAAAGAACAAATCAACCCTTTCAGCATCCTGCACAATAAGGGTAGTTGCTCTTAACCTGCCGTTCATGTTCAGTGGAAACTTGACTAGTTCCCCATTAACCAGCTTCCTAGCTTGAGACAAGTCATGGGCATAACCAATCTTATGAGCAATTTCTTCCATGGTAGTGTTGGTTTTCTCAAAGAATGAACCAAACTCGACAGCCTTATCAACAAGACCCTTTTGCAATACCTTCAGCTTCCCTAGCTCTTCTCTTAGAAGTTGTGTCTGAGCCACCTTGGTTGCATGGAATCCCAGATGCTGATAAGGAACAATCAGGCAGATCAACAATTGGTGTGTAAGTTTGGTCCTCTTTTTCTAAGACATCAACCAATGTCAGCGGGTTCTTCGACCAAGACTCCAATGGCTCTATCCTTGCCAAAGAGAATTACCCAATCCTCGTAGTAAGGAAAAGGTACATTTCTTATGCCCTTGGCATCAGGCTCCCTCTGCAAAACAACATTATTTTAGATTTTATATTTTTAGTTAATAAATAATGCAAAATGGTTAAGGTAGTTTTTTTTACCTTGACATAGTTTTCCCAAACTTGCTCAATGTTGACTAAAATCATCTTGTCAGAGTCATCCCACCCAAAGCCACTCAAGCGAAGCATGTCAGTAAGCAAATTGTATTGTCTTCTCCAAAATTTGATCTTCGACTCAATATGAGGGGATGCACGAAGATCAGTTCCAGGAAAAGCCAATATAATAAGCTTCTCCAACTCAGAGTAAAATCTACACCTGAACTGACCATTGTCAGCCTTCCATTTTTCATTGAACAGATCCCTCATGGCTCAGATCAACACATCACACTATTTCGGGGTCCACACTCTACGACCTCTTGATGAGGAAGTAGTTGCCTTCCCCTTACCCTTTTTTCGACATCCACTAGTAACAGTTGTGTCATTCATACCTAACATGCAGCCATTTATAATACAACAATAATATTATTAAGACAACCAAACAAACACAGGAAAAAGTTATGTCTTCAACAAATAACTCAAACATAAAATAAGTTACATGTCTACATCATCCTATTAAGTTACAAGTCGTCAACTCACTACACAACATAATTATTAAAAAAACATCACATCCAATGAAAATAGTACTTAATTTTACATCCTATTAGCTAACCACTCATTATACATTTGGTTAACTAAAGTGTCCCTCAAATTAGTCCATTGGCCAGATCCCTCAATTGTGTCAATGTACTCGTCCCCTGTTTCTTGATTATTTGGCAATGTGTCATCTAACTCTACCTCCAATGGATCTATAGGCATCTCACGTTTGATGAGATTGTGTAGAAGACAACAAGCTGTGATAATTCGACATTGAGTCTTGATTGGAAAGTCGGAATATGTCCTCAATATTGCCCATCTAAGCTTCAGAAGACCAAAACATCTCTTTATTATGTTACGAGCCACAAAGTGCTTCATATTGGAGAACTCTTTTGGGTTAGTTGGGGGCACCCCTTTCTCTCCAAGTAGACAAATGGTAACGTTGTCCTTTATAAGGTGCTAAAAAGCCCTCCCCATTAGTATAGCTCGCATCAACTAGATAGTAGGAACCTGTAATAATGTAGAATTATATAATTACATAATTACGTAATTTAAGTACAAGGCCAAAGGTTATACATAGTAAAGATATTGTGAAATGCAGCTGTACCCGTTGGCACTCTCAATCCATTTGGTCTACTTATGGGATCTCTAAGTACTCTAGAATCTGAAGCGGAACCTTCCCATCCAGGTAAGACATATATGAACTGCATGTCATGGGAGCAAACACCCAAGACATTAGTCGCCATTTCACCTTTTCTTGATCTATACCTTGTTTTATCTACTGCAGGAGCTAGCGCTTTAACATGAGTGCCATCAATTGCACCAAGACAATTCTACCAAAAATTGCCAAAAATAAATTATTACTTATTAAATTGTAATTATGAATATTATAACTGTTATCAAACATGAAGCATTACTAAAACTAGCATTTACCTGAAACCACCTCCACTTATCATCTGTGCACCAAACAGTTATTGGTTCAGGTGTCTTCAGTAAGACACCTTGCAGTCGAAGCACAGCCTTAAGGACATCATTGAAATACTTACTAACTGTTTGACCAGACCTTATAAAATTGAATTTGACATTTCGATTTTTATGGTGGTTCCCAAGCACAGTCAAGAACATAGCAACCTTTTCCTCTAACACAACATATTTTGAATCTGACACGCCCCTTGTTCTAATAAGCCCACACAACCGCATAAAGGTATGCCTATTCATTCGTAGTTGTTCATGGCAGTCTATGTCATTTTCTCTGACAACCTATTTAGGTGGTCAATTTGTTGTTTGAAAGGATTAGGATTTCTACTTATATTCCTCGTAGCCTCAAACCTTTCCAGTGTAGCATGCAAAATGACAATATAAACTCCACAAGTATAATTCATGGATGATACAATATGTTGCAGGGTAACGTAGGCCTCAATGAGGTCCCTCCTACCATCAAATCCTTTATTATTTGCCATCTATGAAAAGAAATACTGCAATAGTAAATTAAATAACTAAAGCAATCAAATATAAAACTAAATCAATGCTAACTACTATTCACAGCAGCTTTCATGTAAACAATTAGATTTGATAGAAAATAATCTTATCTACGAGAAGCATTCAATAAGAAGGATTATTAAGCTACAACAAAAAAACTTTTGACATAATTTTCTAGACAATTAGATTATCTAAACTACCTTTCCCAATATATCAATCTTGGGAAAAATCTGATTATAAAAATCTGATTATCAAACAAAAATCAATCTTTAAACTACCTTTCCCAATATATAAAAATCTAATTATGTAAAAAAATCAAACTCTTCATAGATTATTTGTTTGTTTGTTTGTTTATTTATTTATTTTTTATTTTTTACGTCAAGAGTTTGATTCAATCAAATCCCTAGGTTTTTACATACAAAACAAACAAATTTTTATTATCTTGTATAAATGAACACTATCAAACACAGGTCATAGATGTACAAGAATGGGGGAAAAAAATTAAAGCAAATTAGTTAATATATGCAACCTCTCTCAATCCTCTGATTTCAAACAAAAACCAAATTGAACAAACCCTTGTATAAATAACAAAAGGATTTAGAAAGTTTAGATGGAAGGGCCACAAATGCTTTAGATAAAAATCATACAAGGAAAACCCAAAACCAAAAAATCAAACAAAAAGAGAGCAAAATAGAGGGAAACGATGATTATCACTGGAAAGAAGCTTTGTCAACGGAAATCGGTCAGAAAATCGAGTAGATCTACACTTGCAAAACCAGAGCTGTTCTTCTCTGTTGGATGTATTGAGCCGCATATGTTTTCTTGAGCCCTTTTTAAATCATATCCCAACCAGAGGATATGATATAATGGGGGGATGGTGGTATTGTAGTATGACGACCCCGCCACGTATAATATTTTATATTTGGTTAATTAAGGAGATTTGGGATTTTAGTTAGTTATTATCCTAATTTAAATTGGGAATTATGAGAATTGTAGAATCTGATTCGTATATGATTCTATTAAAGATTTATTTTGAAATTAGAAATTAAGGGTCCAAATGGCTTAAGGAAGTGAAATTAAGAAGTTGAATCAATTTAATTGTAATTACAGACCCATTTGGAAGTTTAATTAACATTTAGTTCAGTTTAGTAAAATCAAGATTTGATTAATTGGGTTCAAATCGGAGTCAATTAAGTTAATTATGTTAAGGTTTGAGAAATTAAGATTATTATGAATTAAGTTTATTCATGAGGTGTTCAATTGCATATAAAATTTATTGACAAGGGTTTTGGGTTTGATCAGAAACTGGAGGCCTAAACGATTTGGGAAATCAAAATTGATGATGAAAATAAGTTTAATTTGACATTTGGAGCCTTTTTGGGAATTTGATTAAGGATCTGATTCAGATTAATAAACTAAATTATGATTGATTGGTCCTTAATTGAAGTTAAATTGACTAATCGAGTTATGAGGAATTTGTGATTAGTTATGATTGGTTCTAAATGAATGGATTTAGACATGATTAACTAATTAGAAGTCATGTAGCGATTCGTTTAATTAGGGATTTTTATTATGGAATCAATTTAATAGTAGAGCCTTATAAGAGCTTAATTAAAAATTAAAAATCTGGTTTGGATTCGTAAAATTAGATACAATCAAATTAAGTCTTAATTGAGAATGAATTACATTAAATTGAAATTAGCCAAATTATTTTTGATCAGAGATTAGTCCTAACTGATGAAATTCAAACTTGATAAATTAGTTGATGGAAGAGCAGATTAGTGTTTGGTAAGTTTATCACTTCATGAATAAACCTTATAAAGACAAGTGTCCCACTACCTTGTAATAAAATAAAATAAAATGATAATAAAAGAGAGAACTCATGGTGTATTTTGCTGGAGGAGTTGTGGGAATTGCTTCAAACACTTTGAGACCCAACGAAAGGGAGAGAAAACTGAGTGAGAGTTAGAGAGTTCAATCTACTTGGCTGCTGGAGAAGAAAAAGGGTGCTGGAAATTCAACAAGGAGTTCAAATTTTGAAGGAAGAACAAGAGAAAAGAAAGAAAAATTAAGAAAGAAAAATTAACCAAATATGCTGGAAATAAAGTTTAAGATATGAGATCATGCTTGATTTCTTGTAATATTTATATTACCCTTGAAATTAAAGATGAGTTTGGAATCAACATCTGTAACAAGCCCGCGGGGGACCTCGCTACAGCTCGGACTCGATTTGTAGTCACGGTTCTAAATCTGAACCAAAGAGTCCAAATCCGGCAAATCGTTTTGAGAAAACA